CCATAGTGGTTGTACCAATTTGCAGTCACACCATCAATGTATGAGTGTACCTTTTTTACCATATCCTCGCCCATATTTACAGTTTCCTGTATCCCTTATGATTGCCATTCTGACTGGAGTGGGATGAAATCTTAGTCTAGTTTTGATTTGCATTTCTCTAATGATGTTGAACACTTTTTCATATGTCTGCTTAAATTTTACCCAGCACAATAGCCTTGAAGATACTCTCTACCAGAGGACTAGGCTAGGAAGTCTCCCCTCACCCTTTTTTTATTTTGCTTCACAGTTTGCACCATCAGTGAACGTCATCTTTCCTGTGCAACTGTTCGCTAAATGTTGTTCATTTTCTGTGCTAGACTGTAAGCTTTGATGGTTTTGGTTGCTCCTTGGTCTCCAGATCTCAGAATGGTGCCTGGCAAATGATTGAAGCTCCATACGGATTTGTTGAAAAAGAATAAGGAAGATATTGAATGAAGGTTGGCTTAACCACCAAAGGACAGGCATTTTCTGCTAAGTACTGCGGGCCATGCAGAGACAAACATGGCATAGTTCTAGACTTTAATGAACTCACAGTTTAGAGGAACTGTTGAGACAGGAGTGAAATTAACACTGTCTCCAGAGCCATGAAAAAGGCTCTGAAAATATGTGCTCTGGTTCAGAGAAAGTGAGATCAATTCTGGACCCAGAGAAGTCTTTCTAGAATGGATCTTGAAAAATTAGGAAGGTTTGGATATGTGAAAGGACAAGAAGGACATTTCATAAGGAGAGAACAGGTTGAGCAAGGAAGGGTGGAGATTAGCTGACAAGGGGCAGGCATGGTGAGGCCTAGACCAAAAAGAAGTCATGGCTGGATCAGGAGGACTTGAAACTTTGTTCTGCAGAAATTCTTTCAACTGTTTAACACATATAAACTGAAGAGCTACTGTGTGCTAGGCACTGACAGTAAATAAAATAAATAAATAAAATCAGTAGTGATTCTACCTTCTAACCAGTTCCATTCCAAAGGGAAAGACAAAGAGCAAATTTAACAGAAAATATATACTGATGCGCTCTAGAAAAAGAAAAATAGGGCAGTGTAAAATGGAGTAGAGACACAGAGGAAATGTGGAGATCTCCATGGGGCTATCAGGAAAGATCACTCTGAGGAGGAAGTACTTAAGCTGAAGTCTGAATGAATGAATGAGTCAAGAAGTGACAGAGATGCAGTTCCAATATGGCAGCCCTGGGGAATGGGAAAGGTGGACAGTATAAATTGCAAAGTGTGGTAAATGTGAGATGTGTATTAAATTTCAAAGATATTGTACTAAAGAAGGAATGTAAGATAGCCTTTTAATAGTTAAATCTATGGTACATTTTGAAGAGATATTTTGAATATGTTAGGTTAAATTAAAATATCATCAAACCGAAATTTACTCTTTTTTTTTTTTTTTGCTTTTTTCATTGGCTTCTAGAAAATTTAAAAATCCATATATGATTTGCATGATTTTGCCATTGGACAGCACGGATCTCAGGGAAAATGATTCCAGGGGACAAAAGAATACAAAGGTTCGGAGGTAAGAAACCGCCCTAATAGCAATGGATTGTTATTGAAGAGTTTTGAGGAGAGTAATTTGTCATATCTAATCCTCCAGAACGACAGTAATAATAAACCACAAACAAAAGTGTGCAGAATGGATGAAAGAAAGGAGCATATGAAATCAGGAGACTATTCACCATCCAAGAGTAGAGGCCAAGGGAGAGGAGGACTGGCATTAAGTTTTCACTGGGACATGAGAAGGGAGAGTCAGGCTTTAGGGGCTGCCAGAATATGGTACACGGGGAAAGGGGAATAGTCCAGGGTGGTTGGGCTTTTATCCCAGGGGGACCCTGATTGTAGGCTCTATCCTCATTAACCTAGCATCAGGAGGTGCACCAGAGGACCATAATGGGTGAACAGTGGGCAGGAAATTGAGACAAGGGAGGACAGAGGATAGCAAGTTAGTCTTTGTTGCATATTAAAGTAAACCACTTTTCCCACTTTCTCAAACTTAAGGCTCCACCTGGATACACTGCTCCTCTTCTGACCCAGGCTCACCCTAAATCATTCACTTGGTTTTCAGTTCAGCTGCGAGCTTCTAAATCCTCAATGTAGTCCGTGCAGGGGGGAAAGGGGGGTGAATAGGGATTACTCACCAATTGGTAGGGATTTCATGAAGAAAGAAATCATTGCAATAGCTGACAGTTTACATCATTCCCTTTTTTTCTCTCTGTATTTCTTCATATGCTTCCCCACCCACACACACACTCTCTTTCATTTTTTTTTCCATTCTCTGGAATGAACTGTATGCAAAAATTTGAAACCCACTTAAAAGAATTCTTTCTCTTAAGAAGAAAACACACACACACACACACACACACACACACACACAAACAAAAACACTTTCCTCCTGAGATTGAAAGGGACAGAACAACTGCTTGAAGCTGAGTGTGCAAACCAGCAACAGAAAGGCAGGAGACCGTAGCAGCCCCCAAACTCTTAGTGAAGTATTACTACAAGTTGAGTCTCAAGAGAGTTTAGTAACTTCTTCAAGGTCACACAGCCAGGAGGTCACAAAATGTTGAGTTTAAGGCAGTCTTACTAACCTAAAGTCCCCATCGCACTCAAAAGTCCTAAATGGGACAAGACACCATTGGTAGCCTGTCCGTGCCCTGCTAACCATGAGTCATTTCGTCCCTGTAGCTTTTCAAGTCTTTAGTTCATTTAACTCTGTTTTGCTAAATAAACCAACCAGAACACACAGCAGGAAGTTCCAGGCAGGGAATCAGTTTTTAGTAGCAAAGGAAAGATACCAGAAGATGAGCTGACCCCAACCACGTACCTCCACGCAGGGCTCCCAGCTCTCGGGTCTCAGGCAGGAGAGGAAGGCCATGGCTGGGATCAGAGTCCCAGCCAGGCTCCGGGGAGGTATCATCCTGGCATTTTCTGAGACCAGCAGTGGCCCTGTGAAAACATGATGAGCTTTCACTGCAGGACCCACGGGGCAGAGTCTCCGTGGCCCTGGCGTCTTCTCTTCCTGGTCGGTGCCCCGAGGCTACTGCTGTGTTTAAAGCAGTAAGGGGTGAGAGGAAGTGAGAGTGGCAACCTTAGCATTCTGGGCTTCAGTTTTTCTAGTACTTAGCTCCCCTGCCCCAAGGAAGGGAAGTTAGAAGCAAATGAAGAAGCCTTGCAGACCTGCGGCTACAGGAACAGCAAGAGGAAGCTGGCTCTTATCCCAGAAAATCATCTGACCTCCAGACTTGGTGAACTTAGGAAAATAAACAGGCCTTGTTCAAATACTTGGCATAACTAACCTAGTATTACAGGGGTTTTCCAGTTTTGTTTTAGCCGTGGAAACTTCCTGCTCATACTAGCAATCCACCACGTAGTTAAGTCGGTTGAACTACAGAAATTAATTTTCTTATACTTCTGGAGGCTAAAAAGCCAAGATCAAGACATCAGCAAGTACGTCTGTGATCTCCTCTTCCTAAAAAGACACCACTGGTACTGTTGCTTAATAATAATAACAAGTGCTCACATTGATGAAAGTTACAAAATAAAGTGGTGTGATGATAGTTAAATGACACTAACAAACAAGCCTTCATTTTTCTGGTCTTTAGAATGAAGATAATCACATTTGTCTCGTCTCATTGAATTACGTTACCTTATCAACAATGCCTAGTCTAGTGGATGGCTTATCATTCCGTTCCATAGGTGACAGCTAGGATAATTGAACATGTGGGTAAAGGAGGATCATCATCTTACCCAGAGATGGGTCATGGGATTGAATGAGCTGACGTGTGTACAGGTTTTTGGACAGTCTGGAAAGAGGCAAGTATAATATAAGTCTCTGTTGAATAAAACATTTTAAATTTGGGTCTTACCCTAATAGCATCCTGGAGAGTTTCATCAAGAGATCCTGAAAGCACCTCAGATCCAGAATGTGTAAAATCAGGCTGCACCAGAGTAACAGTAGAGTCTCTTGTAGATACTTCAGCACCTGTAAAACTAAGCCCCAAATGGTCCTGCTGTAGAAACTTTACTGGAAGGATGAGTTGAGCCTATTTATGCACAGATGGAAGCCACTTTGATTTGACGCCTCCAAGTTCCTCGTTCCTCACACTAGACATGTTTAAACGCTAATTTCCCATATTTTGTAGCCATGTTCCTCCACGTATGATTGGGCTACAACCTGAAAAACCCATCATAAATTGAAACTATGCTAAGTCCAAAATGCAATTTATAAACCCAATCCACAAACACCACAGCTCAGCTGCACAGGGCACTGCAGAGCCTGAGTTCTTGGCCCTCCTGACTGAATAGTTGAATCAGAGCTGTAGCTTCCAGCCACCATTCAGTATAACAAGAGTTCATATTGCTAACCTGTGACAAGATCAAAATTCAACATCCCAAGTTTCTACAGAGTGTGTGTTGCTTAGCACAACTGTGAAGTAAAAAAAAAAAAAAATCCAAAATTGAGGGACAAAATGTATCCTTGATGTGCTGGTATTGGGTCCTCACTGATTGGAAAGAGACTGTCCCTCCCAGAGCTAGTTAGCTGGGAGAAATAATAAATGACTCACCGTGGAGCACAATTTTCATGTGCAAATTTCCCAATCCAGGGCCTACTCTGAGCCACTCCTCTATCTGGCTGTTAAAAAAAAAAAACAAAATTTGTGCCCTAATCAACACAAGGCCAAAGAGAGACCCTGGCCCTAAGGGACTGCTAAAATAATTCAAACTAGCCAAACTTTAGCTTACTTACCTGCCTTGCAGTGCTTTTCCCCCTAGAAACCACAGGAATGGCTTGTGCCCATAATTTCCCTGGGATCTTTCTGCCACCTGACTGACCCTGGTGCCTCCCCATGTGGCCCTGCATTGTGTAGTAGGCTCCCCACCAACCCCCACAGACACCCCAGCCTTGAGAACTCTGAGTAAAAATCCACATTCTCCATGCAATCATCTTCTGATCTCCTTATCTCTTGGTCTTACCAATCATTAAAAATAATAATAATAATAAAGTTCTGCCAAATCCTAGAAACAGCAAGTATAAACTAATTCTAAAATGTTACTCCTCCTTTTTGGGGGATCACCATTGAATATATCCTGTGGCCTAGACAAGCGCAACACACTCATCACGAGTCTTCCAGTGTTCAGATTCATATCTTCCAAAGTCTCATCTTCCAACTCTTCCTTACATCTTACAGTCAAAATCATCTTCCCAAGGAATGAACAGGAGTGCTTCATGCCTTCTTAATAAAGTATTGAGGCTGTCTGTGGTCTAGACCTCAGGCCTTTAGAGGTAGATGTAGAAATTAAATAAATCTAACATGGGTCAGTTGTGTCCTATTTTGATTTCTTCCTGATTATGTAGTGTCAAATACTTCTTCTACAAACCATGTAAGAAGAAGGAATGAGCATGTATATTATTGCAGGCAAGATATAAATACACCCCAGAACTAGAATAAAAGGAGTGAATGATTAGAGAAATAGAAGTAGGTGAAAAAGAAGTGGTCATTCTCTCCATCTTTGGAAAGGTGAATCTTTGATGGTCAAAAGGAAGACTGGGAGAAGATCTTCTAGACTGCTCTGTGAGACGTTAGCACTTGTGTCTTTTGGAAGTCTTTCAGGAAAGCTTTCTTATGGTGTCTGGAGAATGTCTTATAGTGCTTGAAAAGATGGTTCTTTTTGATGAGAAGTTAATGGGATTAATATAGTGTAGTGTACTGAGGCATACTAACCTTAATCAAACGAATCTCAGTTCTGTATGCCTCTTCCAGAGAGCAACCCATGTGTCCAATACAAATGACAGACTTTAAGCCTGCTGGCTATTACACCTTATTTTCTTACCTTAATAGACTTATCACTGCATTATTACAATGGAAGGCAGAGGTGATTAATTACTATGTGGGTAATTCCCAGTAGGGTAATAATTACCCCCTGAGCACAGATGCATGGAAAAACCACTTAGTTTCCCACACCTTTCATATGCAACAATTCAGCTCAAAACCCATATTCATTCGGTCGATGGAGGAATCCCATTTTTGTTAGGGACTTAGAAATATTTGATACTAATTAGCAGATACTACATATTCAGTTAGAAGTCAAAATAGAACACAACTGATCAATGCGGTATTTAGTTAATATTTAGTTAATTCTACATCTATCTCCAAACTAAAGTGATTTAATGTAAGAAAAATTTATTTCTTGCTCATGAAATGCTCAATGAGGATATTTGTGATCAGGAGCAGACTTGGAATGATCCACTAATCCAGGTTCCTTTTATTTCATTATTCTGCCACATTCCATGGGCAGCTCCTAAGTTTGCTGCAGAATGTATGAAGAATGGGGAAGACATCCAGACACTTGAATCCCTCTACTTTAATCATCTCTGACATGTATCTCCTCTCATTTCTTTTTTTTTTTTAAAGAGAGAGGTGAGAGAGAGAAAGACAGACAGAATTTTTAATATTTATTAGTTTTTTGGCGGACACAACATCTTTGTTTGTATGTGGTGCTGAGGATTGAACCCGGGCCGCACCCGTGCCAGGCAAGCACGCTACCACTTGAGCCACATCCCCAGCCCTCCTCTCATTTCTTTGGCCAGAGCTAGTCTCAAGACCACACCAACTGCAGTGGCTCTCTGTCTTAAGTTTTAGTTTCCTGAATCACTGTGAGCTCCACTTCACAGCCCCAATTCTGTGATGTGGATGGGAACACAACACTTTGTTCATCACTGAGATATCTAAATCACAAACTTACTACTTATAAGGTCCATTCCATGCAAGTAAAAGAAAATAAGAAGAGTAACAATCATAACATAGTCTGGTTCAGATTTATCCTTGGCATATCTAGAGCCAAATCTGATTCCATCCAGCTTTCTAACACTTCTAAATTTCAATTTTTTTTTCACATACTGACACCTCTTAAATCTGAATGTCTCATAGTAGATAATGTATTAGAATTATATTTGGCAGAGCTTTTTTTACCTTAGTGCTACATAAATTAATAGTATATATTATAATCAGTGCATACTATGTTCAATGAAGAATAGTTTGTCTAAGAGGGAAAAAATAAGTTCTGTTCAAGTCAATAAAGGAAATAAATGGCTAAACAGAGAAAAAAAAGAAACTAGTTTCTTAAAGACACTTTAGGACATTTATCAGACTAATATATACTTTGCATCTACTAAAGGAGTAGAGTACTCAATGTTGCCCAACTTTTTGGACCCATGCAACTCTTTTATCCTTCGGCACTTGTTTTCAGTTCAGAATTGGTTCATGTGCCATGATTCAATGCTTCTGTGGTTTGTAAGACCTTACATTAAGACTTTGACTCTTATTAACACATGCCCAGCCTCCCCGGAGAGCTCTGTCACTTGCTCCTCAGCATTCACATAGCAACCATCTGTCATGCTCAATGGGGACAAATTGTCATCCTTTCTCACTAGGCTTCAGTTCCTTGATGACAGCAGCCAACTCTGGTCTGTCTGTGCACACACCACACCTGTCACAATGTCCCATACCTGGGAAGAAATTCAATGCACACCACGTGTATTAGTAATTATGATAATAATTTTGGAAAATAATATCCATTGACTTGAGTCTCTTTGCAGAGAGAGGCTAATAAGATACAAGAAAGGACAGATTGTCTCTGTTACCTTCACATTTCCAGCCCTAATGTGTATTTGCTATCCATATGTAATAAGTGCTCAAAAAGCTTCAAAAGAAAGAATGAGTAAATTGTATATAGTCAGCTAAATTTCTCCCATTTTTATCAACGGCCCCCAAGAAAGGAGAAATGTAAATGCCTTTTTTGACTCTCCCCCACTCCGTTTTTCTTTTTTTTCTAGAAGGCAACCAATGTCAAAATACTTGAGCAGGTTTCTGATGCAATCCTGCACTCGACGTACAGAACATTTCATAAAGCATTACTTTGCGTGACCCAGGGTTCTTTGATAGGTATCTTTGGAAGGAAGTGGGCAATGACGTGGGTAAATTGCATTATTTGTCAGGTAGCTGGTCAGTTGCACAAGGGGCTTTCCTTTCCTTCTATCTTTCACACGGGAGGAACCTAAGAAACGGGAGGTGAACAATATCCCAGCTGTGGAAAATAACACATGGAACACTAACAAGGATCCCATGGATATTTTCCTTGAGGGACAAGAGACATAATTCAACCCAATGAGTCTGAATGCTAGTCAGAATTGAGATCAACAGCCCTAATGCAATGAC